CATCAGCTGCATCGCCATCAGCATGGAGCAGAATGAAAATAAAATGAAGGCACGGAGAACAAAGAGTGATGCTGCACTCCACGCTGTCCCCCTGGCGGCGACCCCGCCTCGCCCTCCGCATCCGCAGGGGCAACGAGCTTCTACTCGAGCTCGTCCCATCCGAGAGGCCAGAATCGTTCCAAAACCATTACGGCAAATCAATGGTATTCCCAACCGTCCTGTGGAGTTCGGCCCTCGTTTTGAATCCGCAGCGCCACACGTCCCACTCGTTCCTTCCTTCCTTCCTCCTTCCTCCTCCCTCCTCGCAGCCCTGCCTCCACGATCCGCACGTCCATTTCTGACACGCTTCGCGGCTCTATGGGGAGCTTCACCTGAGGCCGCAATGGGCACGTCCACAACGGTCTCCCCGCTCATTTCGGCACACCCTTCACACGCTTCGCGGCCCCATGGGGAGCTCCACCGCCCGTTTCGGCACACCTCTCACACGTGTCGTGGTTTCATAGGGGAGTTCCACCCAAGGCCCGAGAGGATGCGTTCAAATGCGGTTCCCCGCCCATTTCGACATACCCCTCACACTTCGCGGCCCTATAGGGAGCCCCATCGAAGGCCCCAGTGGGTGGGTCCACATGCGGTTCCCCGACCTTTCGGCAAGCCTCTCACACGCTTCGTAGCCCCATGGGGAGCTCCCCCAGGTCCCCCTCCTTCGTCCCACCTGCCTTGCGGTACTCACACATGCACATGGTAGGGTTCTTCGCCAGGGTCATGTGCGTTCTCGCCTCTTCGATTCCGACGGGCTTCTGAGGCCTCAAAGTGGCTCAAAGATGGTCAAAAAGAGCCGCAAGAGGGGCGTCAGAGGAGCCAAAGACGGCCCCAAGTGCATCCAAGATCACCCCAAGGAGGCCTCAAGAGGCAATTTGTCGGCATCCGAACGGGGACCGTAATTGGTTATCCGCCCATTTTGATCGATGGCCATCACGATGGCCCCAAGAGCGCCTCCACGGCCTCCAAGAGGGCACCAAGAGAGCCCCACCTAAGCAGGAGGACCCCAAGAGGGTCCCAAGAGAGCCGCAAAGGCCTCAAAAATAACTTTAAGAGAGCCCCAAAGGGGAGCCGTAGGGCGCCATGATGGCCCCAAGATACCTCAAAGAGGTTCCTAAAGCGTGACTGCATGCTGCCACGCATCCCTGACAGGGCAACTCGCCTGGTGATTGCTTTTGGATGGGCTGGTAGGGAGACGAGGAGCGTCAAGTATCTCGAGGCGGATCCGGCCATGGCGACGAGGAGGCTCTCTCGAACGCTCAGGAGCATGGCGCCGAACGCCCAACGAGCATGCAAGAAAACAAGAATATGTACATAAACTGTCGGAGGTCAGCGCGGACTCCTCCTCCTCCACCTCCTCCTCCTCCTCGTCCTCCTCCTCCCCCTCCTCCTCCTCGTCCTCCTCGTCCTCCTCGTCCTCGAACTCGTCGTCGACCTCCTCCTCCTCTTCCTCCTCCTCCTCCTCGTCCGCGAACTCGTCGTCGACCTCCTCCTCCGCCTCCTCCTCCTCCTCGAACTCGAACTCGTCATCGACATTCTCCTCCTCCTCCTCCCCCTCCTCCCCCTCCTCCACCTCGTCCTCGAACTCGTCGTCGACCTCCTCCTCCTCCTCCTCCTCCTCCTCCTCCTCCTCCTCCGCCTCCTCCTCCTCCGCGGATCGGCGCTGGGCCCCCTCCCTGCCGCGCGGAGCGCGCCAGAGGCGGCGCCGGAGGCGCTGCCGGGGGGGGGGGGGGGGGCCAGGGCAGATACGAGAAACCCGCGCGGACCTCCGAGAAGAGGAGGAGAAGGGGAGCAGGAGAAGGGGAGGAGGAGAAGGAGGAGGAGGAGGAGCAGAAGGGGAGGAGGAGGAGGAGGAGGAGGAGGAGGAGGAGGAGGAGGAGGACGACGACGACGACGACGACGATGAAGTGGCGGCGGCGAGGGAGGCGGAGGCCTCCCTCCCTGACCTCCGACGACTCGACGTTTCCCTGGGGCTGGTGTCTGTTCGTCCCGAGCCGCGTGCGCAAGAGGCACCAGGGTCCGAGGCCTGCTCCTGGACGCCGAGAGCGCAGGGAAACGCGAGACTTAAGTCGAGCCTGTCCTCCTACAGGGGGATTTTAGACGAAAAATAAAAAATAAAAAAGGCCAAAAATAGTCCGGGGACTATTTCCCTACCTAGGCTCTGCCTAGAAGGGTTCTTACTCGGAAGCTTAAAGGGCCGGGCAGTGGGGCCCGCCCCGGGCGGTTCCCCCAGTATCCGCCCCGCGGTTCCCCCAGTTACGTCACCTTAGCTTAGCATTAGCATAGCGTAGCACAGCATAACATAGCCAAGCATAGCATAGCATTGCACAGCATAGCATAGCGCAGCACAGCACAGCACAACATAGCATAGCATAACATAGCATTGCATAGCATAGCGCAACTTAGCATAGCATAGCATAGCATAGCATAGCTTAGCATAGCATAGCTTAGCATAGCATAGCACAGCGCAGCATGACATAGCATAGTTTAGCATAGCATAGCATAGCATAGCATAGCATAGCGCAGCATAGCATAGCATAGCATAGCATAGCATAGCACAGCATTGCATAGCGCAGCATAGCATGACATAGCATAGCATAACATAGCATAGCAACTAATGCTGCTTTCCTAGGGGCTCCAACTTTTAGGTAGGGTCGCACTGGGGTATTTTTTGAGTATCTTTGGACATGTTTGGAATATGTGGGGTATGTCTTATTTTTCGTCGAAAATCCCCCTGTATGGGGGACACGCCCGACACAACACGAGACTCGATATCTTTGAGTCCCTGTAGTTCTGGCTTGTTCCTCTCGGCGGCGAGCCCAGGGGGGCAGGCAGAGGGGGCTGGCCTTCCCAGAAGGCTCTGTGAAGGCCTCCAGCCTTCCGAGAAGCTGCCTGAGCCCTCCCCGAAGACCCAGGGGGGCCTCTCAAAGGCCAGAGACCTTCTCAGAAGCCCCGCCACCTCCTGAGAGGCCCGTCCTCTCTCGGACGCCTGGCCAGTAGTTCTCGGATCATACACCGGCTCTCGGTTGGCCGTTGGTGACTGTCCAGACACTCCCTGACGCCCCTCGGCGAAGCGCAGCTGCTGGAACGCATCCCCGAGTCTGGACAACAGCCGAGAGCCGACGAAGACGCCCGACAATCTCTTCCTGGAAATTCCCGGAGCCGTTCCCCCTGGGGCTCGCCGCCGATTCTTCGAGCATCCTCGATCCTTATCGGCCCCACTGGGAGGACCGCGGGAGTTGTTGAGGGGATTGGGGGGTTACGAACGGATGCCAAGTTCGTTGTAGCTGGCCCAGCCTGGCTTGGGTCACAAGAGTCCCGAGTGTCTGCGGGGGGCAAGCGATCCCGGCTAAGTGTGATCCACCCACTTAGCGGAGCGGGCTAACCACTCCAGCTAACTTGTGGCATCCTCCCTCCTATGCCAGCCTCCCTCCTCCTGCTCTTCCTCTTTTTCCTCCTCCTCCTGATCCTCCTCCCCATCAGCAGCAGCAGCAGCAGCAACAGCATCATCATCATCATCATCATCATCAGCAGCATCATCATCATCATCATCATCATCATCATCATCATCATCATCATCATCATCATCATCATCATCATCGCTCATCATCATCATCATCATCATCATCATCATCATCATCATCATCATCGTCGTCATCATCATCATCAACAACATCATCATCAACATCATCATCAGCATCATCTTCATCATCGTCGTCATCGTCATCGTCGTCATCATCACCACCACCACCATCAACATCAGCAGCATCAGCATCAGCATTATCATCATCAGCAGCAGCAGCATCGTCATAATCATCATCCGTATCATCATTATCATCATCACCACCATCATTCTCTTCATCCTCATCACCATCATCATGAGTATCATGAGCATCATCGTCACCGTCCTCGTCATCGTCATCATCATCAGCCTCATCATCACCATCATCATCGTCATCAGCATCACTATCATAATCATAATCATCATCATCAGTATCATCAGCATCCTCATCATCAGCATCACAATCATCATCTGAAGCATAATCATGATCATACTCATCATCAGCAGCAGCATCATCCTCATCCTCATCCTCACCCTCATCCTCATCATCAGCAGCAGCATCATCAGCATCATCCTCATCCTCATCCTAATCCTCATCCTCATCCTCATCATCCTCATCTTCTTCTTCATCTTCTTCATCATCATCATCATCATCATCATCATCATCATCATCATCATCATCATCATCATCATCATCATCATCGTGATCATCGTCATCATGGTCATCGTCATCATCATCATCATCATCATCATCATCAGCATCATCATCAGCATCATCAGCATCACTCATCCTCCTCATCATCACCACCATCAGCAGCATCATCAGCATCGTCATCGTCATTATCATCATCACCCTCATCTTCATCATCATCATCAGCATCATCGTCATCGTCATCGTCATCGTCGTCCTCATCATCATCATCATCATCATCAGCAGCAGCAGCATCATCAGCATCAGCATCATCATCGTCATCATCGTCATCATGAGTATCATTACCATCATCATCATCATCATCAGCAGCAGCATCATCATCATCATCATCATCATCATCATCATCATCATCATCATCATCATCATCATCATCATCATCATCATCATCATCATCATCATCATCATCATTTCCATCATCATCATCATCATCATCATCATCATCATCAGCAGCAGCAGCAGCAGCAGCAGCAGGAGCATCATCATCATCCTGTTCCTCTTTGTACGCACACGCCGAGCTGGAGACGCCCGTTGCTGGGAGTTCGAGGGGAAGGGACGGGGAGGGGACGGACGAGCTTGACTCCCGGCCGCGGGCTTCGGGGGGTAGGGCCCCCCTCCACTGAAGACCTCCTGAGGTTGGCGGCCCCCGCGGTCACCCCCGCAGGGAGCCGGAGCTGGGCGCTTTCTCCGCGCGCGCGCGGGCGGCGACCCGCACGGCGCGCGCGCGCGGGCCCTCGGCGGGCGCGGCCGGGCCCCTTGCGGATGCCGGGCCGGCCTCCTCCTCGCCTCTCCTCGGGGCGAGGTCTATCGCAACTCGCGGGGGCCTCCCACACCGTCATGTTGGCTCCTGCGAGTCGACGCCGATCGACGCGAGTCGACGGCAATCAAGGCCACATCGATGCTGGACGACGCCAAGCCACGACAGTCGACGCCACATCGGGGCTGTCTCATCGATGACCAGACGCTAATCGACACTTATGCACTCCAAAGACGGACTTGCGAGGTTGCACAAGGCTGCCGTACCTTGCTACCGAAGGGGGGGCGCTGGCCATGCGGGCTGGACCGAAGCCCAAATCTCCGACGATGTGGTGTTTGTCCATCCGGGCGTATAGTTCGGGAGTTCGGGGAGTTGCCAGAAGTGGGTTTAGTGGGACCTGGTTTAGAGATGTGTACTGGGGGACGCCCCCCCCCCCGGCCCCGTTCCACTAACCGGAACTGCCGTCACCCGAAAAACACAAGCTACGGCAGACCTGGTTTAGTGATTCTGGCCAATTTAGGGGCTCCGGGGCCCTACTACTAACCGGGTCCCGGTCCCCTTACCTGGGGTCCTGGCTATACCCGGTTTAGTTTCTCGATGTCGGCCTCCTGGGCCCGTTACTGGGCCCTGGGGCCATGAAAAGCGGATCTGGGACGATAGGCCAGGAGTCGGGACCTCTGAGGCCGCGCGTTGAGAAGACCACACCGTCGGAGAGTGGGGCCCGCCAGCTTCCCCTGGGAGTGGCCCCCTGGGCAGGAGGTGACCTCTGGTGTGCGGGGCCTGCCGACTGCTGCGCGCGGCGCGGCAGTGGCGGCCCGCCTGCTTCGGCCCGGCCCCCCGCGGCTCTCCGCGCGCCTGGCCAAGAGCTTTCGAGAGCACGAGGAGGGCTTCGTGCGTTCTGCGCTCGGGCTCCAAACATGCCTGAGGCTCAGCACAGTCGCGCGCCCAACTCTGGGCCGAGCACTGCCTCGATCGGACTGCCTGCCTGTTCCCGCGTGCTCGGCGTGACCTTCCCGCGTCTCCCCCGTCCCGCATGGGAGCTCAGTGCTCCCCGACCTCCGGCGCCGTGACCTTTTTCGCGCCACGTGGCTCCCCAGAGAATCTGGGCCCCTCCTCCTCCTCCTCCTCCTCCTCCTCCTCCTCCTTCCTCCTCCTACTCCCTCCTCCTCGTTCTCACTCCTCCTACTCCTCCTCCTCCCTCCTCCTCCTCCTGCTCCTCCTTCTCCCTCCTCCTCATCCCTCCTCCTCCTCCTCCTCCTCCTCCTCCTCCTCCACCTCCTACTCCTCCTTCTCCTGAGTTCTGAATCCTGAGTCCTGAGAGCAGGAAAGTCGTTCAGACGCTGCCCTCCGTCATTATCCTTCTCCTCCTCCTCTTCCTCCTCCTCCTGCTGTTGCTGCTCCTGCTGCGCTCGCGCTTCACGATATGTATGATCGAGGTGTCTAAGACGGGTTTATGAGTCTTGGGGTTACACTGGTCCCTCCTCCTCCTCCTCCTCCTCCTCCTCCTCCTCCTCCTCCTCCTCCTCTCCGAAAGAGGCACACCAGAGGTCACTCTGGCGAAGGGTCACTCTTACGTGTGGCCGAGGGCGGGGGGGTGGCCTCCAGCCATTCAGGTCGGACAGAGAGGGGGAGTAGCGAAAGGGAGGTTCGCAGATCAGCTCACGTGTACCTGCTCTTCCGGGCGCCTCCTGGCGCTGGAGGCGCCCATGGTGCGAGGAAGGCGCCTGGCAGCAGGGCCAAAACGGGCCGCACGCGGACGACATCATACCCCCGCCTTCCCCGGCCCCCCCTTGCGGTCGGACCCGGGCCATCCACCCAACGCCAACTCTGGCCGGGCCAGCGCCACGCCGAGGGGGCAGCGACGCCTCGACGCCTCGAGATCAAACTGTTTCGGGGGGGGGGGGAGTCCCCCGTGGCCACGGCTGGACGCAGCCTGAAACACTGCTCGACGCCGGCAGCTCTCGGGAAGATGAGGGCGGGGACCACGAGGGTCAGAGGCCGCAGTCGAGGCCGAAGTCGGCGCGTTCCCCCACCGACGACCACGGCATCCCTGCTGAGAGGGCAATGTGGAGGTCCTCACATGACTCGGCCAGCGCCCACGTGTGCGTCCTCCTGGCTGTGCCCTGGGCGGGGGGAGGGACGGCCGAGCGAATGCGACAGTCCTGGGCCCGCGATTGGGACTACCGCCAGGATCGGCGTGGATAGCTACGGTGGGGAACTTTCGCTTAGCGTGTCGCGGCGGCCCCGGCGACACGCTATGCTGCGCAAGCGGATAGCATATCGCTCCGCTCCACGGGGCGGGAGGCTGGGAAAAGCTCTCAGGACGCTTACGCTTGGGGACTGGGACGTGGTTAGCGTGTCGCGCCGAAGCGTAGTGGGCAAGAACCGGCGGCGCGACGCGCTAAGCCGAAGTTCCCGAACGCATCCCCGGCTCCCCGTCCCTGATGGTTTCCGGGTCATATCTCGGCTCTCCGGCGCCCGTTCGGGACAATCCGGGCAGCCCCGGAACGCCCTCGGCGAGGCGCAGACGCAGGAGAGCACCCCGAGGCTGGGAAGCCGCCGAAACCGACGAAACCGCCCCCCCAAAAAACCCGAACGTCGAACCGGAGACCGATCCCTCCTCCTCCGAAGCGCCGCCGCGCCAGCAGCTCCTGACCGCAGTTGGCGCCCCCCGCACTCCTGCTCCTCAGGGGCCTCCTCCTCTCGTCTGCGGCTCCCTCGGCGAGCGGCTGCAGGCTCGGGGGGGTCAGCCCGGCCTCGTCCTCTCCCCTCCGGCTCCTGCCGAGCCTCCGCCTCTCGTCGCCGGCGTCCCCGGGGGGCGGCTGCAGGCTCGAGGGGGCCGCGCCCTGCCTCCTCTTCTCCCGGCTCCTCGGGCTGCGGGCCGCGAGGGGAGAGGGGAGGAGGAGGGGGAGGAGGAGGAGGAGGAGGAGGAGGAGGAGGAGGAGGAGGAGGAGGGAGGAGGAGGAGGAGGAGGAGGGAGGAGAGGAGAGAGGAGGAGGAAGGAGGAGGGGGAGGAGGAGGAGAGGGAGGGGGGGGAGGAGGGAGGAGGAGGAGGAGGAGGAGGAGGGAGGAGGAGGAGGAGGCGGAGGAGGAGACGGAGGAGGAGGGGGAGGGGGAGGAGGAGAAGGAGGACGAGGAGGAGGAGGAGGAGGAGGCGGAGGAGGAGACGGAGGAGGAGGAGGAGGAGGAGGAGGAGGAGTGGGACTTCTTTTGGGCCTCGTGGGGGTCTCTTTCTCGCCCGTGGCACCGCCGCCCTAGGGGGGCGCGAACGGGCTGGGCGGGCAAGGCGGGTGATCTGCTCTGCCCGTTGGGCGACCGCCCGCGGCGGGCTGCGGCGGCACGCTCGTGGAGGAGTTGCGGGGGGCGGGAGGACCCAGGCGCCGCCCAGGCGGCCGTGCGGGTGTGTGCATGTGTGTGTGTGCGCGGCTCCTAGGATTCGCCACCCCTGGGATGCGAGGAAAAAAGAAAAAGAAAAAAGAAAGAAACATTATCCTGGCGAAAGACCCATCCATATGCAGGTGCGAATGCTGCAAGTGCGAAGATCTTCTTAGGTGGAGCTCCTGGGGGAACGCATGCGGGCGGTAGCACTGGGACCGTCGGTAGAGCTCCCAATGGGGCCACGAAACGCTGTACTGGGTGGGGGGGACGCATGCGGGCGGCAGCACTGGGACGTTCAGTGGAGTTCCCTACGGGGCCACGAAACGCTGTATTGGGAGGGGTGGACGCATGCGGGCGGTAGCACGTGGACCTTCGGCGGGGGTCCTTATGGGACCACGACACGTGTCAGGTACGTGCTGAAACGGGCGATGACGATGCTGATGGAAGAGGAGGAGGGGAACAGGGAGGAGGAAGGAAGGCAGGGAGGAACGCGGGGCACTGTCTCTTCAAAACGAGGACCCAACACCACAGGATGGTAGGGAAAAACGGTATAACAACGAAAACGAAAGAGAGAGAGAGAGAGAGAGCGAAGGAAGGACCAGACCTCCGCCACTGGGACACCAGTGGCATGGGGGGCGGCAACCCCTCTGGCAGCGAAGAAGGAAGTGGTGGAGGAGCAGGAAATGGTGCACAGCATGAGTTTCACAAGTGCGGCTGTACTGGTAGGGATATTGCAGGATCACCACCACCCTCCTATGTACTGAACTTTACGCTCACGCATGGGTATATTCGAACATCGTCGTCGTCGTCGTGCACGGGTATATTCGAGCATCGTCGTCGTCGTGCACGGGCATACTCGAACATCGTCGTCGTCGTCGTCGTCGCCGCCGTCGCCGTCGTCGTCGTCATCGCCGTCGTCGTCGTCGTTAGCTCCGTCGGGAGTCGGCGGCGGATCCAGCAGGCCAGGACGACACAAGGCCGAAGAAGGTGACCACACCTTCAGCCAGGCGCGCGATTTGCCACCGCTCTGCCCGCCGCCGCGCGGCTGCTTCAACTGCACGCGCACGATCACGCACACTCCATCTGCACCACTCGTCAGAACCATGGCACGCTCGCTGACCGAAGCGTCAGAAATGTCAGGAGCAGGGAGGGGTCTCGGGGCCATCTGGGGCATCCTGGGGACCTCCAGGGGGCCTGTCGGGGTCATCTTGGAAGCTGCTAGGACCTCCTTGGGCCGCCGCCGCCGCCGTCGGCGTCGTCGTCGTCGGCCCAAATAGGTGTTCTGGAAAGTTTCTTCGGCCGTTTTGACAGCCTCTTGGGGTGACTCTCGGGGGCTTTTTTCGAATGCATGCGCGGAGCCTCTTGGCTGCCTCTGAGGGGGTCACGGGGGCTTCCAAACAAAAAAATATCCCAGTGCGACCCTACCTAGGAGTTGGAGCCCCTAGGAAAGCAGCATTAGTAGTAACAGTAAAGCTAAGCTGAAGCTAAGAAAAAAAGCGAAGCTAAAGTTAAGTTGAAGCTAAGCTAAAGCTAAGCTAAAGCTAAGCTAAAGCTAAAGCTAAGCTAAAGCTAAGCTAAGGCTAAGCTAAAGCTAAGCTGCAGCTAAGCTAAAGCTAAGCTAAAGCTAAGCTTGAGCTAAGCTAACACTGAGCTAACGCTAAGCTAGAGCTAAGCTAACGCTAAGCTAGAGCTAAGCTGAAGCTAAGCTAAAGCTGAGCTGAAGCTAAGCTGAAACAAAGCTAAAGCTAAGCTGAAGTTAAGCTAGAGCTAAGCTAGAGCTAAGCTGAAGCTAAGCTGACGCTAAGCTAGAGCTAAGCTAAAGCTAAGCTGAAGCTAAGCTGAAGCTAAGCTGAAGCTAAGCTAAAGCTAAGCTAGAGCTAAGCTAAAGCTAAGCTAAAGCTAAGCTAGAGCTAAGCTAAAGCTAAGCTAGAGCTAAGCTGAAGCTAAGCAAACGCTAAGCTAGAGCTAAGCTAAAGCTAAGCTAAAGCGAAGCTGAAGCTAAGCTAGAGCTAAGCTAAGGCTAAGCTAGAGCTAAGCTGAAGCTAAGCTGAAGCTAAGCTAGAGCTAAGCAAAGCTAAGCTAGAGCTAAGCTGAATAAGCTAAAGCTAAGCCAAAGCTAAGCTAAAGCTAAGCTAAAGCTAAGCTAAAGCTAAGCTCAAGCTAAGCTAAAGCTAAGCTGAAGCTAAGTTAAGCTGGGTGAACCCAGGGGGCCCAACTGGGGGAACCGCGGGGCGGGGACCGGGGGAACTGCCATGCCCTGACCCCCTGGGCCCAGGAACACCCTGATCCCGACACGGCACGAGAATCTCGGGGACACGAGCCTCGGACACCTGGACCCCCGATGACCTTGGAGGACACCTGCCCGCGGGCACCGGGGTCTGCGGGGGCACGATTGGGGCAATTTTTCTGACAGGGAGACAACGGGGGCCTCCACGGCGAGCAAAGTAGCGCGAGGGAGGGCGAAGGCGCCGGCCGCGCGCCCTCGAAGGGAACTCGCGGCAGCGGAAGGAGAGCGAAGGCACTCGGAATCGAGAAGGCGAGATCGCAAACTAGGTGCCAGCGCAGGGCCCGCCAGCCTGAACGCGCGAACAGGGACGCGAATAGAGACGCCGCCTGCGCCCGCAGAAGACCCCCCGGATTTACAGCAAAGTATAAATATACAGGGGCTGCAGACACGCCCCCGCCGCCCCGCCGCAGAGAAACGCCGCGAGCTCGGCCCAATTGGGGGGGGGGGCGACGGCGCTTCCGAGAGGAAGGACAGAGGCAAGAGGTGGAAGCGCCGAACGCTCTGCGGGCTACCCAGCTCGTCCTTAGGCAGGGCCCAACGCTTCGCGATGCGTGACCCCGCGCTTCGCTGCGCCCCTCGAAACTTGGGCCCCCTCTGCGCGACCCCGCCCCGATCGCTGGCTTCGGGCCCACCGCGCACGTGGCAGGCGTCGGCATTGCTGCCAACGGCAGCGCACGCATTCTAAGGGTTCGCGACCGCCCCCACAGCGCGCCCCCCCCTCGGGGGGATGGCGCAAAAAAATCTCAATCATTATGACAGACATATGAAGCGGTGAGACAGGGAACAGCGAAACACGAAAGCGACACACGGCAGCGCTGAAGCATGAAAACAAATCACGCAATGCGGCAGCGAAACAGAATGGCGCCCCAAGACTCACCGAGGCAAGCCCCCCTCCACTCGGGAAGGACGGTGCCGCCAAGGACTGTCAAGTCCGCGCGCAGCCAAGGCGCGCGCCGGGGCGGCCGCGGAGTCGGCGCGGCAGGCGGCCCCGCCGCGCGCCGGGCGCGCTCGTCGTCGACCGCGGTAGAAGCGGCTCCGCGCACGCCTCGCGGAGTCAAACCTCGGGTCGGGGGCCCCCGGCGGCAAGCCCGGCCGAATGCCCTCGGCCGCGGGGGCGCGCCAGAGCCTCTTGAAAGCGCGGCCGTCTGCTTCGCGCCCGTCGCCAGCGGCCTCGCCGGCGGCCCGCGCGCCCGCAGCGCCGCCAGCGCGTCGCCCAGGCGCGTGGGCGCGTCGGCGGGCAGCGCGGCGCGGTAGCCCCATTGGTGCTCCAGCACGGCCTTGGCCAGGGACGCGCTCGCGCCTCGGTTGGCTCCGCCCCGCCGCTGGTTCCGCCGACGTCCGTCGACGGCCCGCGCGCCCCCCCTGCGCCGCGCTCACTCCCCTGGGCCCCCCGGCAAGCCGCCCCGCTGCCCCACGCGCAGGCCCGCCGCCGCGACGGCCGCCGCGCCGCCCGGGCGGGCGCGGGCGAGTCGCGCGGCGGTGAATCCCCGCCCCAAGTGCCCAGCCAACTTGCGCGAGCGGCACGCCGAAGCGCGGCAGAGGCACACGGGGTGGCACTTGGCCGCCCACTCCTCCGAGCGGCCCTGCCGGGCCCCGCCGCTCCGCCGCGCGCCGTGCCAGCCACTCCCGAAAGGTCTCGCGGCGCCACTCCCCAGCAGGCCAGAGGGCGGCGGCGGCAACTTCGCCCTCGGCGGATCAAGAACGCGGCGTGTCGCGGGCCGCCCGCCAATCCAACTCCACGCACGACCTCGCGCCGCCAAACGCGCACGATGGCCCCCGGGCGCAGCAGAGGCGGGCTGCTGGCGCTCGGCCGGAGGATGAACTCGTGGAGCTCCTCGCGGGAAAGAGCCCGCCACCTCCCGTTGGAGGGTGAAAGTGGGGGTCGGGCGCAGGGCCCAGGCAACGGCGTCTCCATGGGCCACGCATGGGCGATGCATCCTCGATTGTTGTGCTCGGCGGGGGAATCAACTGAAGCCCCCTGCATGGACCCGCGCGCGAGTCTCGAAGGTGAACGAAACAACGAGGCGGAGGGCTCGGGAAAGGCGACAAAGGCAACGCGCGCTGAGGTCGCAAAAAGATATGGTGGGAATAAACGAAAGCGGCGAGGCGAGTGTCAAAATATGCCCAGCCAGTCTGACATGCGGAACGCTGCTCCTCAGTTTGGGGGATCTGCAGGGCCAGGGCCACACGTGAATTCACATAGTGGGGAAAAGCAAAATGTGCATTCACACGTTGGACAAAAAAGATAAAGTGAATTTACGGTTTGGGAACAAGGAAAATGTGCATTCACATTTTGGAATTTTGCAGTGGAATCCTTACGAAGGGGCCAGAATGTGAATTCGCATGCTCGGAAAAAAGGGAAATGTGAATGCACACCTTGGAAAAGGCAGATGTGAATTCACATTTTGGGAGAACCGCGGGACCCATTCCAGATCTGTCTCGGGGTTCGACATGTCATCGTTTGGGAACGCGCCCGATCATCAATCGCACAAACGAGACACACTTGCACTCCATTTCGCCGCCCCACGCGCGATATGCAAGAGCGCCCGCGCGCGCGAACGGCACTGGATGGGCGGCGCGCATGCCCGCGCAGGCAACGCGCGGGCGCGAACGACTGGCCCTTCATGACCGCCAAAATTGGATGCCAATCATACCCGATCACAAAAACATGAGGGATGCATTGAGCATACATGGGCCATTCAGCCCCATTGAAGACCCCCCGTTGCAGACCCCTTCTTTCACCCTCCGATCCTGGTCCCTGGCCCGATGCGAACTGGGGGGGGGAGCGATCAGGACCAGCTTGCCCCCGCGGCGCTCGCGGGCCGCCACGCGCTGGCGCCGCTCGCGACCCATCGCGCCATTGGCGCCCTTCGCCAAGCGCGCGCAGAGGCAGATCGTCGATCTCCACCCCCATGCCTCGCCCACCCAGCTGCTCAGTGGAACTCCGCCGGGACTGGCACTCGGCCCCGGCGGCCCGAGCGCCCTGGGTCCGCCCCATCGACGGAGTTCTTGCGGTCGAGCCAGCAGTCCAGGCTCAGCTCCTCCTCTGTCGAGGGATCCAGGCTCTTTGCCCACGGGCAGAAGAGCGACGCGTTCTGGCGCGGCGAGTGCTTCCCGCGCCAGATCTCGGCGTCGAGCTCGACAGCGCGCTCGCCCGGGCACCGCCCGCGCCGGCGACACGCCGTCTCCATGCGCTCGTCGACCTCTCGGCCCCCGACGCGCGCGGCCTGCGGGCCCGCGCCCATCTGGCCAGGGCGGGCCGCGTGCTCGCCCCCATTGAGGCGCACCTCCTGCTCGGCGCCCGGGGCGCCGCATGCGTCCGCATCGCGCACGACCCTCTGCGGGGGGGGGGCGCGGTCCCCCAGAGCGGCCACGACGTCCCGGTCGTCGATCATGTCCACAAGGACCTTCGCGCAGGGGGGGCGGCCCGCCTTCCCCGCGCGCGCTAGGTGCCGGCGGGCCAAGCCGCGGCGGCGCACCTGGCCCTCGGCCGTCGGCCCGCCGCAAGAAACTTGTCCGCGCACGGGCGGAAGGGCCGGCGCGGTGCGACGCGCGCGCGAGCGCGCGCCGCCGCACCCCCCTGCGGCTCGGGCGCGACATCGTCCGCCGCGGCCGGCAGCGCCACCACCTCGAGGGGGATGGCGTTGTCAGGGCGGGGGGCGGCGGGCTCCTCCGCGCCCGCTATCTCCTGAGCCTCCTCCCCGACGGGCGCCGCCCGCCGCTCGCTACCACCCCGTCAGCTACCCTGGCCGCCTCGGCGAGGCAAGTCGGCGACGGCCTCCGCGCACGCGCAAACAATTGAAGGTCAGCCATGGCGTCGTCGCCGCCATCGGCGCCGCCGGGGCGGCCCGCCGCTTACCCCGCGGCCGCCTCCTCGCGAGCGGACAAGTCGAACTCGATGGCCGCGCCCCCTCGGTCGGCGCCCCCGCCCACCGGCCGCTCCAGAAGCCCCGGCCCGCTCGCGGCCCCGTCGGCCCGGCACTTTTCGGCCGCGCGAACGCCGCGGCGGAGTCGCGCCGTGGCGGAGTCGCGCCCGATGCGGCGGGCCAGGAGAAGCCACCTGCCGGCAGTGGCCCGCTCCTCGGGGCGCCCCAAGCTGCTACCGTGCAGGCTTCACCTTGTGGCACTGGCCCGCTCGTCGGGACGCCGCAAGGGGGTGGAGGATCGGCCTTTCTCCGAGGCAGTGGCCCGCTCCTCGGGGCGCCTCTGGCTGGCGCTATGCAGCATCTCAGCGGCAGTGGCCCGCTCATCGGGGCGCCGCATGCAGC